GTGAGGAATATCTACAGTATAAATAAATATATATATATATATATATATATATATATATATATAACTGTTGCTATGGTAACCTCTTCTGGCTACACTTGCGTCTGTTTTGTGCCTAATAAAAACAGGCAATGTGTCTAACTTGTAACAACTTCTATGATGCCCAAAATCTTTGAAGGCTTCTTTGAAACGGTGCTTATATTTCACTTAGATCTACTGTTTCTGTTGCCTGTGTACTTTTCAAGACACATTTTGTTCTGACTATTCTTAAATAGAGGGGCTAGACCCCCAACTCCCCTAATTTGCTCCCCTATTTTACCATGACACGGGGGTAAAAATGCATTTCACATTGTTTTATAAAGTGGGCATCTTTTGTCAAAGTTGGCTTCAAGCTTTAGTCGTGCTCCCACCTTGCGGACAGTTTATATGCTTGAATTATAAGTGTATGTTATGTTCAAAAACACAAAGCATATGAATTCAAAACAGCGCGTTAGACACTTCCGTTTGCCCCCAAGGCTGTAGACAGCAAAAAACAAGAACTTCAAGCGTTCAAATCGGTTGGTTTTCAGCTCTGCGCTTTAGTGTATGCGTGCTGAATTACCAATTAAGACTTCTAAAATCCACTGCAGCCCAACATTCAAACATATAGGCTAAAACCCGCTGCAGTCATTCACAACAGCCAAACGTGAATTAGCAAACAAGTATGGTATGAAAAAACAAGCGTGCACAAGCGGATTTACCTTCCGAAATGAACATATACAGCAACAGCGTTTCCATCCAAGAGCGTATAACGGACATCGTAGTAGTTTCCACGAATAAATCCCGTTTCTTATGATAAACAACAGCGCTCCTCCAAAATATCTCCCGACCGACGTCTACAGTCCAGCGACGAATTCCCAGCGAGAATCTGTTGGATTGTGATGCTGGTGAACTTTATCTAGAGCTATCACGTCCATTATACCAAACCAGTTAAGAGTTAAATAAAAAAGACCGTGTCAACCAGCGACCGAAAGCGCAATGAAGAGCTTTCGAGAGAGAAAAGTTACAGGTATCCGGCTCAGGTGTCTCGATTCCCACGACTATCTCTCTCTCAATAATCCACACGACATGGAATATAGTCGTTTTCGTCCACCCAGAGATTTTAATTCAAACTATAATCCCGTGAAAGCGTGAAACGCCAGCAATGGTATCGCAACAGCACAATACCAATGTCGTCCACGAGTTTGTTAGTTTAATAATCTACAAAAGCATCTCAGATTAGAGGTAGCCTATCGGACACAAACAGCTGATACACGGCGTGTTTGTTTAATAATAGAGCTGGATGACGATTTAGGATTTCCGCTATAGTAACCTTGACATTTGGTCAAATTGTATTTCATGGATGAGATCCGGTTCTTCGATGTACAGGCTACACGACCTGAAGTTATGCGATGTATATCGTCGCCAATTGATGCTCGGACATAACGTTCACTTGTCCGCACCGATGAAAAAAAGTGATTTCTTCTTGAATGAAGTCCGAAAGACGACTTGAAAATCTTCTCAGAAGGAACTGAATTCCTGGACAAGCTTACCTGGTACACTGTTAGGCTACATTTACAATTGATATTACTGTATGAAGCGTATCGCACCCATTTTTTAACTCCGAGGATTAAAACAAACGCTATTCTTCGTAACAATGCAGCGCTCCGGTCTGTAAAACAAGAGTCAGTGGAGGTTCGGCTTCTCTGTTGAGCTTCGTCAGAAAATATTTATTCAAGACCACCCCCTCCTTATAGGTCACACAACCTAACTTCGCGTTTCAACAGTCGATCTGTGAATAGCGTGAAGTGCACGTTGCGTTCCGCTGGACTTGCAGTTGAAGTAGCGGGTGAATCCCTGAACCCTCCAAATCTCTTCTCTTCGGTTCACGGCATCTCACTGAAACATGACAGGGTCAAATTTCACCCTAAGATCAAAATGTAAAAAAAAACTGAGATGATGATCAACATAGTTCCGCTGATCATCAAATCCCCACTGCTGTAAGAGGATCGGACGTTTTCTTTCAGAGTTTTGTTGTGATCCCAATTTTTCTTAGGGGAAAAACACGTTTGTTTCAAAGTAACTCTATAGGCCTATACACTTTGATATAGGCTAATATTTGCATATCTGCTTGCTACAAATAATAAAATATTCAACTTAGATCCAAACTGCCAATTATGATGGGTAGTAGCATCAATGGAAAACATCTAGACATTTTACATTAAATCAAATCTTAAACGTTTGAATTAAAATGGCTGAACAAAATTAATAGCAGACATTTTAATTAAATTCAAAACAGCAAATTCAATTTGAGAGAGATATAAAAATACATAAAACAAATAACTATCAACATTATAGACAGTGTAAGTTTGAGTCACTATCACAATTGTGGAAAAAGTAGGTCTATATAGCCTATTGTGCCAGTTTGTGCAATTTTTGTGGGTTTAGTGGAAGTACATTAAAGTGTTAGGCTACAATCCTTGGCTGGTCAAAGTGTGTGTGTGTGTGTGTGTGTGTGTGTGTGTGTGTGTGCGCGCGTGTGTGTTTGTGTGTGTGTGCGTGTGTAGTGTTTATGTGTGTTCGTGTGTGTGTGTGTGTAGTGTTTATGTGTACGTATGTATATATATATATATATATATATATATACATACATGTATATATATATATATATATACAGTATATATATATATATAAGCATAAACTAAATACATTTAATATTAAAGTTAGTAGGCACAAAGTAAACAGAAGAGTGACAGTGAACTTTTCTCCTGCTTTGCAGCTTTATGCATTTTGTTAGCAGGACTAACAACAAATATGTTATTAAGACAAATTTCAAAACAATACACCCTAATCAACAACATATTATCCAGAAGTGTGCAATACACAAATGGAAATCTCATAAGTAACTGTATTTCATGAAGCTGATGTTGCTTGAGGTGTCACACGACAGTGACATCTCCTGGCGGGCCGCATTATTAGGGTCGTGTTCCTACATTCTAACAGCTTGTCAGTTTCACATGGCAGGACAGTGCTAAATAAAAAACCATTGTCATGATTTTGATACTTTTATACATCCTGTTAGATCTTTCACCTTTTAAATAATATTTTCACTGATTGTAGGGAACACACACCCTGACAGCTGGTCTTATTTGTGTTCATTTGAAATTGTTCATGGCATAATAAATAAGCACACGCTTTAATGACTAGAGCATTTCACTTCTGCAATTTGCATAAGATTTGTGCTTATGCATAATACAAATAATAAAATGCACATCACAATTTAATATGTAAGCTACAGACCATAAAAGAAAAAAATTAGAATGCTATTTGACAGTGCATAATATAGCTGCTGTAATAAAACGTTTCTCATTTTCTTCCACTGAGAGTAGCGTGTTAAATGTATGCTCACACATTAACTCCGCGGTTTATGTTGCGGAAAACATATTAAGATTCTTAATTTTAACCATTTATTGTTTGGAAGTGCTTTTGGCCCCAGTGTCCCGTAATGATTTGTTTAATGTACCGCTGATGGCTTTGTTTACAATGTAAGACTGCACACAGAAGGATATTGGTTACTCGGATAATCTTTCTGTATAGCACGGTCCCCTTGTAATACACATTAGAGCCTTTGGGTAATGGCCCTAGGACTGGATTTTAGAGTACTTACATTGATTCATATCTCAGATATTAACTTTGTTATACCTTCATTCTTCCTGGCCATTTAGATCTAAGGTTACACCCTAACATGGGCATCCTTTATCTACTGCCACGTTGAAAAGCAAAGGGAAATTATGGACATCGCTTCTGAAACTTGAAATAGTTAGTTGAAGGTAACACGTAGCTGGTCTCTTACGGTTTACAAACACAGTCTAAATAAAGAAGACAGCTCTCTTTGCTTTCAGAGACATTACATTATGGTGTAATATATTAATGAGCCAAGTAAAAAGGTGCCAAGCTGTCAGCATTAGTTCTAGTAGCAACACTGAACACACACACACACACACACACACACACACACACACACACACACACACACACACACTGACATATTAGAATGATTTCTGAAGGATCATTGAATACTGAAGTCAGTCACACACCATAACTGCGTCATATTTGTTTGGTGGCAGAGGATTTCATAAAAGCTTCTGACCATTAATGTATTTTGACTCGCGTTTTCCTCCTTTACGCTCAGTGTGAGATTCATAAATCACATCTGATCAATAATTTAAAACATCTTTTTTTTCTCTTAATTTCCTTCATCTGTGCCGAGAATGTTAAAGACCACAATCATTCAAGTGATTTGCCATGAAGAAATGAATGAAATAGTTTATCAGGTGACCTGCTGATCACCATTTAAACATCTATTAATAATAGCAAGCAACAGTTGGAAATCACATCGGATTGAGAATGATAAATTGATGAATCATGCACTGACTGAGATTTCTAAACTGAATTGTTGCATAAGCTGTCAAAAAATGGTTCACAATTCCCAATCAAAATTAAATATTAAACATAAAAAAATTATTTGACAGTTATTTTACAGAAGCACAACATAGCATTTTAGGTCAGAAAAGATATACACACTATAGTTATGTTTTATGCATATGCTTAGCCCACATCAAATCCTTTTGTCTTCAGTGTAGGCTACAATGGCCTCAGGACCGAGGGAATTCCGTTTTTTGTTCTTGAATAATATGAGTTTCCCATATGTGCATAAGGCACAGCATTTGCTCTCACTCAGCAGCTTCCAAAAATAATTTGCATAACTCAGTCAGTGGATATTTATATAGAGATGGCATGATTTTTGTAGGATCGCCAACTTTTGATGCAGTGGCTGGAATAGCTGAAATCAAAATGATACGCAAGCAAAGAGATACAGAGTCCCTAAGCAAGCGAGAGGTATCTTTAAGAGTTAAAGGGATATTTCACACAAAATGAAAATTCTAACATCATTCGTTCCTAATGTCATTCACTCACACTCATGCCGTTCCAAACCTGTATGACTTACTTAATTCTGCAGAACACAAAAAAGATATTTTTGTGCAACCAAACCAGTTTTCAAAATCAAAATATCTTTTATGTTCGACAAGAAACATCAGACTACAGTGAAAAAGCAAATGTTGCTTTTATCATTTATTTCTTTTTTCATTGTCTGTATTCACTAGTTTGTATATCAGTGGTATAGGTTGTGTTGAGCAGTGGTTATAACAAGTGGTCTATGAAATGGGTGAAGAACAACAGTCTTTACGATAACAACTGCAAACACAAAGCATGGCAAGACGTCATCAGCGAAGACGAATACTGGGTAAAAACTCAAAGTCAATAACAGGTGCCATCGAACACTAAGGAGTATTGTGTCCAAACAATACACAACTACAGCTGCGAAGTAAAAGCAAACCTCAATATTCACCTTAAAGTCTCCGTTTCATCAAAAAACAATCTTAAAGCCAACTTCTATGAAAGAGCTGCAACTACTAAAAGTTTAATTACAGGCACCAGTGCCAAAATGTTGGCGCACCAGTTGGAATTGGAGCACTAGTATAAACTTCAACACCTGTCCTGGCTAGACAAATCACCTGACTTGAATATCATCAAACCACTGTGGGCAGTTTTGGAGTGAAGAGTGAGAAACAGATTCTCTCCTCCAACATCTCTGAAGCAGCTGGCAGATGTTCCACTGTAGACTTTTCAAAAATTATATGAATCCATTCGAAGAAGGTTGGAAGCTGTTTTAAAGGCAAATAGTGGTAAAATACCTTTATATAGAAATACTGCTTGTTTCCCAGGTGTTTGCATTGTTTTGTCCAACTGCTGTATGCATATTTGTACAATAAATACCTAAATAATACTAATAATACGGTGATGGACTGGCCGTATGTATTTTTTCACTGCGTACAGCCCAAGATACTGGGATAATCTCCGGTATCACCCTACATAGGATAAGCGGTTTGGAAAATAAATAGATAATAATGATACATGTGTTTTGGATAATTCACAATATGTGTCTTGTGAATTATTCTTCCCTAAACTATTTACAGCAGGGATGTCAAACTCAGTTCCTGGAAGGCTAAAGCCCTGAGAGTTTAGCTCCAACTCTAATTAAACACACCTGAACCCACTATTCAAGGTCTTCGGGATTGCTTGAAAACTGAAGGTTGGTGGTTGAGCAGGTTTGAGCTAAACTCTGCAGGACTGGCTCTATAGGAAGGAGTTTAACACCCCTTATTTACAGTGAATAACTTGGTTAAGTCTTATGGGCTAAACGTGGTCAGTGGTTTTCATTTTCGAATTATTGGTAACACTTTATTTTTATGGTCCCTCTTGAACATTCATTAATAAGTAACGCTGCACCTACATGTCAACTAACTCTGATTGGGTATTAGTAGACTGTCTGCTTAACTCTTTATTGTGTTAGTCTCCCAAAAGACATTCCACTGACTATAAGTTACTTATGTCAATTCTAACCCTTACCCTAGACTAGTCTACTAATACTCTACCAACACTCTAATGAGAGTTAGTAGATGTAGGTGCAACATTACTTATAGTCAACAGAATGTGTTAAAGGGACCATCAAAATAAAGTGAAACCAAATTATTTAACACCCCATGGTATATTAAGCATCAAATGAATAGAGATATGGCCACTATCATTGAGATAATGTATTGAAAAATATATTGTAGCTATGCAGCTTTCAACATTTTAACTCAATTCCAATGGTCTATTTATAGTTACATTTATTCATTCATCAGACATTTTTATCCAAAGCGGCTTCTACACATTCTACAA